AATAATGCCTTCGTCGTAGGAGCGGTTCTAAGTGAGTTTGGTAACGAGTTCCAGAGTTTACAGGCTGAATAACGGAAAGAATGTAAGCCATAGTTTGTAGTATTAACCCTGGGGACATTGAGAAGACGTTGGCCCCGTAGGTTGTAAGAAATATCTCTTTCATTGAGTAGATTCTTAATATATACAGGGGTGTTACCATTAAGGGCTCGATAACTAAGAGTCAACATATCATGTATGCATATTGTTCTCCTAAGGTGTACATTAGACTGACTTCCGCACTTACCTAATCTGATAGAGGAGTAAAATAACAGCGACAGCAAGAGAAAGAAAGTTGAAATGACGGCGAACGTCACGGCAGTGTGATGTACATTGCTGTCCACGTAGGTTGTAAGAAATATCTCTTTCATTGAGTAGATTCTTAATATATACAGGGGTGTTACCAGTAAGGGCTCGATAAGTAAGAGTCAACATATCATGTATGCATATTGTTCTCCTAAGGTGTACATTAGACTGACTTCCGCACTTACCTAATCTGATAGAGGAGTAAAATAACAGCGACAGCAAGAGAAAGAAAGTTGAAATGACGGCGAACGTCACGGCAGTGTGATGTACATTGCTGTCCACGTAGTTGTAAGCAGGTGGGCGATAGTTAAAGTAAAGATTGTATCGATCGACTAAATGCTTCATGGCCATGTAGAGCAAACCTGAGAAGAAATGACAAAAATACGGGTTACATATGAAATACTGCGCCGAGCAGTTAGTTTCATAACTTTAGTAATGGCTGAAACCAGGGTAATATAATATGGTGCATGGGCTGTGCTGGAAACTGATATAAGTACGCCTGGAGATATTTCACCGCCGTCCATTTTTAGACTGTGTGCTAAGTTTCTTCGCTGGAAGCGAAAGTAGTAGGACTACACATTTTCAACTACATCTATCGAAGGATGACTGATCTATAGTTATGAGTCCTGATTCCTGTCTGCGAGGGGTCTGCGAGAGTTCTGGCTCTGATCCGCTCGCTTCGTTCGTGGGTTTTACCGCCCGTGCTCGATTGGTAGCGTGACGACAATGTTTTGCGTGACTTACCAAATGGCGTGACAAGAGGACAAGTGACGCAATAAACGACCATCAGAGTGAAGATAACTAACATCCAGGCGTACTGCTGCCCATACGCAAACTCACGCACGGCTTCCTGGTAAAATAAAGAACCTTGATGTCAAATCACAAACTCTCCTTGCCAGCTTACCCTTCATTCTACTATAAATTTAAATAATGTAGTACGATTATTAGGAAGAGTGACAAAACAATAAGTTTCGTCGCGTGTCGAAGTAATCTTGGATTACGTTGTTTTTACTTTACTTCGCCTAAATTTTCCAAGAAGCACAACCGTAACGTAGGCCTTAGAGAGTCCACTGACCTAGCGAACGAGCCTTTTCTCTCCTTCGTTTCGTGCGCAAGCCATACTACCTGCATAAGAGACTAGCTCAGGGAAGCGACACAATTCTGCTGCGGTTCCAATCAGTGCTGATGTTACAAGATAGTTGACGAAGAACGCGCCATTGTTGGGCAAGAACACGCAACTGGAATAGAGAGCAAACACGAGATTAAAATATGAGCTCAGTCTAAACCTGGGGTGAGAGCAGTCTTGAGAGAAAATGGGTCTCGTCAGAGACAGCAATTACTGAGTGGAAATCATCACAAGTCGCAGTTACCGACAACCATGAGTTCTTTTCAGAAAAACTTTCATCCGTAAGATAACAGACACTAAATTGTTGCTATCGGCATAATTCCTTTTACTGTCAACTAGCAATTCACCTTTTCCGTTGTGTTCTTCATTGTTCAAATCGAGAGGAAATTAAGAGTATCAAGACCGTGAAAAGTGCTGTTGGGTATAAAGGTAAAACACTTAAGTTGTGTAAATATTTCTCCGTTTGCTGTAGCTAAGTATACTAGATCAGTTCAACTGTTACAAGATGTGAAGGAGTTCCAAAACATCCGCCGGTTTCCAGCGGTCTACCTTTGACTTAAATAAGACCTCTCACCGCCGTCTTTTGAGCCTGCAGGCAGGCTCATGTGTTTGGGTTTCGCCTCAAGGTACTGCTGCATCATGGGAAGCCGCTTATGGAAAAAGTTACAGAAACTCCTGGGGGCACTCAACTTACTTGATTGAACGATTTGCTTTTAAAGATAAGACCATAACCTAAATGTTTTGAAGAAACCTCCTAAACCTGAGATGTAGGTAGACATGACCAGGTAGTTACCCTCCAGTTGAAGACTTGCTTAATTTTAACTATCGGTGTACTTGACGATGTGTTTATGTTGAGAAGAGAAGTTGTAATTTGTTCACCTGATGGGATCGTGGTTTGTAAGCAGAGGTCGTTGGTAGAGCAAGACATTCTACGGTCAGCCTTCACCGGGCGTAGCTATTCGTTTTTGTTTTTGTTTTCGTCTTTTGTATAAATTTAGAGCAGTACTAGCATAGTACCTTAAGTAACTATGTGAAAATGTCATTTACAGGATACCCTAAAACCCCAAGGGTGGCACCGCTGCCTTGGTCGGGGGGGTACACGTTCCCCGTTTTTTCCACCTGCTGGTTTTTAGGGGTTTTCGTGTCCGGCTTTGGTGCATTTAGTTTACTTCAATTGTAAAGGCTTCTGTTAGCATATCGACTTGGCGTTAAATAAACGGTGGCTTGGCTGGCCAACCCGCCCAGATATCAACTCTTTGTGTGTCCGGTTGAGCAGTGAAGGCAAAATAGGATTAATTGCAGAAAGCTTTTTTAAATTCCCTCCTCAGTTCAAATATATTAACTATGGATATATTAATAAGAGTTGAATACTCACGCTAGTCTACTTTGGAATTCAGGAAAACCTCCTCCGAGCGTCAAATGAAACAAAGCATCCACACTGCAGCAAAAACACAGCACAAACATTTGAGTGCCTGTCCGCATTTTACGAGCAAAAAAACCCTAAGTTTTCGTTTCTCCTGGTTCCCTTGGAAATTTATCATGATTGCTGTTGGAGTAGCGAGGCAATAAAAATTGGTGTGAAAAATTTCCCGGAGCAGCTCGGACTTTGGTAGCCGAGGTACACTCCTTCTCAGGCCCAGGCCCCAACCCAAAACGGCAGCTTCACGTAGCACCGTCTTCAACTGGATTTTACGCTTGCCGGCTTTTGCCAAAGAGAAATCCCCACCCGGCATGTAGCACCCATTGTACTCCCGATTGGAGAACACAATTACGTCTCCCGCTAACTTTGTGTGAAAATCAAGTCGGTGTTCTGAACAGTCTTGAAACACATATATTTTATTACAACTGGCAGTAATGTCGCAATCTGATGGGCCAATTTGCCGCTGTCAATAAGAGTACAGACAATGCTGCTTGCGTCAACGTGTCACGCAATGATCGTACACTGAAAGAATCGTTTTATTTGACGTCGATACTGTGATAAAAAACAAATCGACAGTGACTTAGCGCGGTCTGTAATCTTATCGATGACGATATTCGTCAGCATAGTGGTCAAAATGTTTGCGGACTCACGCGGCTGCGCCCCGTGAGTCCGCAACCACGGTTAAATCACTGTTGATTTTCTATTAACCACTGTCGATTTGTCAAACCACTCAAGCGGATTACTTGTTTACCTGGTAAGAGCCAACGAAGGAAGAATAATTAACATCAGTATTAAGAAAATATATGTCTTGACCATCACAGAATGCTCAAGTTTTGACCTGCAATAAAATAGGAGACAACATCGAGGACTTTCTTACTTTTAACTACAAATTTAAAAAAAAAAAAACCGGCCCCTTTGGGAGCCAACAAATATTCTTAAGTACAGAAAAAACGTACGTCGTATTTCGCAGCGTTTGAACTACGCTGGGCCAAGTGACATACGAGTATTAACTGAGTACTCGTGCCCGTATGTCTTGGGTCCAGCGTTTCCGCGTAACGACTTAGAGTACATTCGTGGTCAAGCATTAGACTCATGGACCCTTTAAACCCTAACATTAGCATGTATTTTCCTCAGAATCATACCCGTACCTTGTCCAATGGGCTTCGAAATAACTTGACCAGGACACTGCCGCAGGAAGGATTGCTGCAAAACTCCACAGCAAGATAGTGGGCAAGAATTGCGTGAGAAATGGACTTGGAGGGACAGCGAGCTTTGGATTGCTTTTCTCTGCGAAATATAGAGGGGAAAAAGATCAAACACGGTTATTGGATAACTCTGCAACTTATTTCAGCAAGTGGTCGGAAGACTAAGAACTCTAAAAGAATTGACAGGTAGTTCCAACTTTTACTAAACACTACTGAGGGGTTATTTCAAGTAATTCCGCATACGTCACACAGGCAAGTTCTCAAGTAATCAGTAAGTACTATTCATTACTGAGCATCCGAAAAGACAAAACCGCGCGTCAACACTTAGATTTCCGAACAGTTTTCGGTCTATGGAAAAAGATAAATTTTTTTTTGGCTTCGGTGTGGTATATACTGAAATAATTATTCACCGCCGCTTTGGCGAATTGTTAATTGATGTAAAAGGTCTGTAGTTGAAACCACTGTGCGGAACCGTCTTCATGAAAACTACCGAATACGAAGAACTGATTATGAAGCTGTAGAAAACAGCTCTAACTTTTGAATTTGTGTTTAACACTTCGTGTGTGCTTCAGCTAAACAAAGTTGAAAAGACAATCACCCAGTCGTCCATGAAGCTTTTAACAAATGATACAAAAAGGAGTGCTTCTCTTTAAAGGGAATAAACAATTTAGAAAAAAAAAAGTTGCTCACCGACACTAGCCTCCAACTCCTCCAAAGTAGACAGCACAACAGCTGGCGTGGTGAGAAACAGAACAAAGATGAAAAGCAACGTATTGATAAGCACCGCCCTGACCCACCAACTTTCATTGTCTACAGAAAGGTGTTCCCAGATAATGTCCCCAGCTAAAGGAGCCTGAGACACATTCCAGTGGTCTGAAAAGATCCTTCGAGACACAGACGATTCTGGACTTCCGTGCCGGATTGTGTTGAAGTCTTTCAGACATCTGCAAACCGAGCAAATGATAAAAAAGTGGTAATGTTTCTGTGGTTCTATGTTGGAAGGGGATAGAAGACAATTTGGTTTTATTACGTGAGTTGACAATGTAAACTGGCCACCGTAAAGTGTTTCCAAATCTGACGTTTCGGGTGTCAGTTCTTCGTCAGAGCGAAAACGAGCAAAAACGCACAGTATTGTGCAAAATCTGTGAGAGCAAACTCTGGTGATGGTAGCGCATTTTGGGTCTATTCAATGAAAAATGACGAATTAATTCATTACGGAAGCTAGAAGAAAATATGCCGCTAATCAGAATGTAAATGTCGGCTGATGTTTATTTCCGATTCAAGCGATAATTCGCCCTGGTATTTCAAGGAAAAGTACGCTGACCACGTGACCTTGTTTTCCCCGCCATTTGCACGTTTGCCGGTTGCGCTTTGCCGTTTCTACGTGAAAGTAACCCCGTTTCGCCGCGTAAGATTTTCTTCACTTTTTCTCTCAAAGAGTGGAAGTTAATTGCTGGAAAAAGTGCACCAAAACTATTCCTTGTAAGTGATACAAAGGCGCCTTCAAATTAACCATGACGTGAGCTCAGGCGAACCTAAAGCAGCCAGGTTCACGCTACTTTATGTGAAACGTGAAAGGGCACGCTGACGTTTGCAGTTTCATGTAAACGCGATGCTAAATCACTCTATTGTTGCGGTTATTACCCTTGTTTTATGAGAAGTGCATCCTAACCCAATCGCGAATAATAGACGCTTCCCAAAAGCACAAAAACAGCTTGACCAACATCCGCGCACACCTTAATGTGGTCTGTTAGACCCCCTTCCATTACTTTAGAAGTATTGTACCTCTGAACAATCGTTGCATTTTCAAATGTCACAAAAGCTATTCCCAGACTCTTCAGTTTCTGCCTCTGTTGATCAACTTGGACTTTACCATCTTCCTCTTCTTCAGTAAAGTACTCAATCCCATCCACGTGACTGGCGCCACAGCAGTGGCAACAAGGAGACAGCTTGTTGGTACTCACTGTGGTTAACGGTCTCTTCCCAGTCTTACGGAGCAGTTCTTCACAGTGTTCCCGACCCATTTCTGCGGCAAGAACTTTTCTCTGCGCTTGCTTTAGTTTTGCAAAGTCAAATGCAATTTGGACTTCAAGGACTTGCGATTCACCATATATTTCCCTGGAGAAATGCAACAGAGAATATCACCTACGAAACCAATACCCCATGATCCAAACACTCAATGCGAGAGCGTCTACAAGCCAGGTTTTTCGGCCTTTCTTGAGATAGCTAGAGCTTTCACTTCATTGCAAGTTCACCCCCTAACACCTTTGCGAGTTCGCACCCTAACAT